TATGAGGGAAGGTTTAATACGTGACGTCTCAGGTGTTCATCAATGAGCCAACTCAGAATTTCAGTCAAAGCTCCATTGTCCAAAATGATGGGCCTTCCTGGGGGTTGTCAATTTTTTAGTGGATTTTAGGATGAGAGTAGAAGGTGCGAATTTTAGGGAAGTTGGTTCTAATAAACTCCCATGTGACTTTGGTGATAATGCCATTAAGGAATGCCGTATCAACTAGTTCATAGTATTGACTATTAAATTTGTTAATCATTACTGGGGAAATGGAACGATACCAATTTCTATTTTGGAGGATCCTATTATCACCAAACTGAGCATGTGCATGTGATCACAGGTTCAGCCTGTATGGCATCTGTATAAGAGGAGGGGCAGAGAAGAAAGGATCAAACAGCCTTTTTACACAATGCAGAGGATTAACCCCTTAGGTTCCACAGTGAGTATAGCAAGCATGCTTTACTGCACATACAGACTGATTTTACTGTTGTGGGTTTAATAACACTTTAACCCCTTGATCGCCCCCAGTTAACCCCTTCACTGCCCTGTCACCAGTGTCATCAGTAAAGTGTACAGATTTTTTTTTACTGTATTATTATTATCATTGGCAACGTCAGATAGCGTTAGCGTCAGTTAGTTTCCCTCCCAAATAGATTCAGATTGCCCTTCATTACACCAGTCATCACATTTAACCCCTTGATTGCCAGGAACACGGTCACATACACAATAAACCTCCATTTCTAGTATAGTATCTGAACGGATCAATATCTTTGATCAGATCAGCACTTTACCAGTGTTCACATTAGTATAGTGACCCCAAAAATGCAGCATTAGCGGGATCAGCCCTGGCACCTGCCAGCACCTGCGTTTAACCCCTATGCTTAACCCCCTCCACCCCCAGCAAGTGCAGTGTCAGTAGATCACTGTCACTTGATATATTGCACACAAAACTGCAGTGTTCGCAGAATCAGGCCTGATCTCTGTTAGCACTTGCAGGTAAATTTTTTTGTAGTTGTTCAAGCAGTCTCTGACAGCCAGGTGTTTTTTTTCCCATGAGTCGCACTAGGTATTTATAAATTTAGTGGCCAAAATGTCCAACGAAAGGTACTGTAGTGAAGAGACCTACTGGATTCTGAGCATGTCAGATGAGAGCGAAGGGGAAGCCTCACTGACAGAATCTGCCTCAGAATACGAACCTGTAGACAGCAGCGGCACCCTGACAGATAGCTCAGACGATAGAGAAGAGTTCCCTGCTAAGGTCAGGAGTACCCGACCTCATTCCCAGGTTGCTAAAATTTTACAATCACATGATGATTCTCATATACAGCAGAGTGCCAGTACTAGTGCCACTCAACCTTTTGGTAAACTGGTGAGCACCAGTGGCCTAGTGCATCCTGGTCTTTCACATACCAGCACTGCAGTATCACTTGGTGATGTGGCAAGTCCCATAAGTGCAGTACAAGCTGGTGTGGTGGGCAAGCAGTGTCCTACAGCCACCAAGACTTTGAACACAGGCCTGTAGAGCCCCTAGTATCCTTCCAGGTGTGCTTGCAAATCCTGATTGGCAGCCTACAAATTCTGCAGCACTCGCACTTCCCCTATTCACTGCCCAACCCGGAATTCAGGTGGAAACAGCAAATTTAACTTGATTTTTTGGCCGGTCACACTACTAAAAAAATTTAATTGCAGTTGTATTGGTCCATTAGACCTAAATTCATCATATGCCAGTGTTCTCTGCTGCCATGGCCAGGCATAGATATGAGAATATAATGCGTTTTATGCATTTCAATGACAATACACTCTGTCGTCGTCCTTGGGGTGACCCTGAATTTTACTGGCTTCACAAAAATTCATCCGCTCGTACATCACCTTAACCAAAAATTTGCAGAAGTCTATACTCCCCAGCAAAAACATCTGTGTTGATGAGAGTCCCTCATTAGTTTTTCTGGCCGCTTTGCATTCAAACAATTTCTCTAGCAAGCGTGCCAGATATGGGGTCAGCAAGCGTGCCAGATATGGGGTCAAGATGTAGAAGACCTGTGAGAGGGCAACAGGCTAATACATATAAGTTTAGGGTTTACAAGGGAAAAAATACTCACTCACGTGGTGCCCCCCAGATGCCAAGACTACATGGGGAGCAGTGGCAAGATAGTTTGGGACTTGATGCTATCCTTTTTCCATATGGGGTACCACTTATACGTGGACAAATTTTTATTCAAGCGTGCCACTATTTAGACATTTGTACAATCTTGGAATGTGTGGCACCCTGCGACCTAATCGCCGGGGGCTTCCCCCAACGGCTTGTAAATACCCGTCTTACAAAAGGGGGAAAAGCCTGCTTGAGAACTGAGGAATTGCTCACAGTGAAGTGGAAGGACAAACGGGATGTTTTCGTCCTGTCTTCCATTCACGCAGGTATGACCATTCAAATTACCACGGCAGCTGGTGTAAGTTGTTGAGAAGCCCATATTGCTTCCTGTATTAACCATGAAAACCAGCTCATTTACCCACGGTGTAGTTGACCATATTGCTTCCTGCGTTATTGCAACATATCACTGGATGAATATATGCAGTGGAGTGATTGCACATAAGCACTTGGAGCACTGAAGTCTTAAAGGGGCGGTTCACCAAGGATTGTGATATCATACTATTGGGACACTGGCTGTTTGATATTAGATGCACAGTGGATATGTTGCAATAATGCATGGTTAATATGGGAAAGCAATATGATATTATATTGTTGTGCTGCATTTCTTTTGTATAAATTTACTTGGCATACCATCATCTTTTATTCGTACCAAATAATTGGCCAATATATTGTGTTTTTGTGCATTAGAAAAAAAAAAAATGTAATTTTTTTCAAACAATTAGCATTTGAAAAATCAATGGACTGCGACATTACATTTGATTGCGACAACATCAATTGCAGCACCCACCGTTTTATTCACTAGGGTGTCTGATTTAAAAAATATATAATCTTTGGGGTTCAAAGTAATTTCCTAGCAAAAAAAATACAGATTGTTTCATGTGAAACAAAAGTGTCAGAAAAAGGTTTTGGTCTTCAGGTGGTTAGAAGGGTGAATGATGTGTTGCATAAACTTCTAATGCTGGGCATAAAAATGCCCCCACCCCCCCCAAATGACCCCTTTTTGGAAAGTAGACACCCCAAACTATTTGCTCGTGGAGTGTCAATGATCATGAGAACAGTGAGGAATCAGACTTCACTATAGTAGTTGTATATATGCAGTTTGAACCCATATGCTGTATGAATTTCAGCTGGTTCCTACTGGCCAAAATGTTGAAGGAGCTATGTGGAAAATTGTTGGACAAAAAGTGGCTGCACCCAGTCAGATGTAACTACTTTACTGCTCACTGTTCTTGCTTGTGGACCTGACCTGGGGGAGCAAAGCTTGCCTCTACCAAAATGGCAGCCTCCACAAAGGTATGGTAAGTCAGTAATGGGAAAAGATCAGCTGCAGGCAATACTGGTGACTAGCTCTTGGCCCTCTGCTTGCCTTTTTTGGGTACAGCTTCCAAAGTTCAGTTCTCATTTAAGAGTAGAAAGATCCAGATAATGAAAAAGGAGGCACACCAAAAGAAATTAGATCTGAGGTGATGGAATAACTGCCAGAAGGATAGAACAGTATGGACTAATTCACAGACAGCCACTTAAGGCAAAATTATGCACAAGGCACCCACACACAATGCAAATGAATGATCGCCTATTTAAATTAATGCAGGCAAGTCCTCAACAATCATATGTAATGGTATGATGGGCAAAGATACAGTATGGTTACCACTGACTTGCAGTTTGCCTAAAGCAGGGAGAGGATGTAAACAGCTCTGCCAGTAAAAATCTTAAAAATTTTGGTCTGACTTCTTAAATAGTCTTAGTATGCTGAATTCACCTTGAAGGCAATTAAACAAACCCCATCAGTCGCTACAAATTTTTTACGTTTCTGTTTGAAAAACTATACCGGTGTTCTTGTTTTCATTTTTATATCTCCGAATGTGAAAATAAAGATACATTTGGATGCTTAGATATATTATGAATCCCTGATACAGGCAAAATGCTGTGTGATTCTTGGATAATTTGTTTTTTCATCTCTGTGGAATTTGTAATGTTTTTCCCACAGTTTCATGGAGGTTCTAAATTTGACAGTTATGTGAAAACAGGTTAGACAGTGTGGTGTTTACATGATCATACATGACCTAGATGCACAGTGCAATGCTTGCTATATAGTGAAACCCATTTAAACTATCCTGCATCTTTTTTATATTTCTTGGATTCTAAGCATTGCAATGTAAAACTTAAAAAAAAAATGAAACCTGAGAGTAGACCTTTTTGTTAAGTTAGAAAGCTTTATATCCAACACTTACTCGTTATATAAAATGTTTTGTAGGAGAAATGTAGGCATTATATGCTAAAAAGCAATAATTTTTCCACTTAAAAAGCAATGCATCTCCAAACACACAGGTAATAAACAAATTGATCTAAATCATATATAGGATTTTCCAAGGCAGGGAGATTAACATGTAATACAAATAGAATATATAACCTAGCCTTTATATCAGGCTATGTCTGAGCCATACACCTGGGTATCTCATGCATATTTTACTTTTGTTTGTTATTGCTGTTTGTTTTTTCATACCAAATTTGTAACAAATAAAATGTAGCATTACACATGAAGTATTCAGTCTTTTAAGTTGCAGTGATGGCCTGGGAATTCTCATACACCAATTACAAAGAACAATTAACTAATGTGTAGCAATGATATTACCAGAGTGTTTTTTAGGCCTTCTGCACACAGGGGGAGGCTTGGTGTGGCTGGTGGTCCCCCAGACTCCTGATACCAATCTTTGGTGTTCATATAACAAAAGGTATAGGTTGTTATAAAGACATTTATTATACAAATTATATTATTGTTGGAATAGATAATAATTTGTTGTTTATAGAGCCTTCATGAATAAGTGGGGTGTGAGAACACATCTCCATTGCTCTAGAGTCCAGTGGCGGTGTGCTTTACGCCATTGTATCTGACGCTTTGCATTGCACTTGGTGTTGTAAGGCTTGGATGCAGCTGCTCGGACATGGAAACCCATTCCATCAAGATCTCTACACACTGTTGTTGTGCTACTCTGAAGGTCACACAAAGTTTGGAGGTCTTTAGCTATTGACTCTGCAGACAGTTGGCGACTTCTGCGCACTGTGCGCTTCTGCATGCGCTGACCCCGCTCTGTCATTTTTCATGGCCTACCACTTCGTGGCTGAGTTGCTGTTGTTCCCAGTTGCTTCCACTTTGTTATAAACCTACTAACAGTTGACCGTGGAATATTTAGTAGCAAGGAAATTTCACAGATGGACTTATTGCACACGTGGCAACATATCACGATACCACGCTTGAATTCACTGAGCTCCTGAGAGCGACCCATTCTTTCACAAATGTCTGTAGAAGCAGTCTGCATGGCTAGGTGTTTGATCTGTGGCCATGGAGGTGACTGGAAGACCTGAATCCAATAATTTGGAGGGCTGGCCCAATACTTTTGGCAATATATATATATATATATATATATATATATATATATATATATTTATTTATATATAAGAAATTTTGGAATTTGTTTTTTTTTTAATCATACTTACCTAGGTGGATGCAACATTGATCCAATGCTGCATCTGTCCCCTGCCATTTCTAAGACTGAGAACTGAGCGATTAGACACTGCTGATTGCTCAGTCCTCCCTGCCACTCTGAGCAGACAGCCGGGAATGTCAGCCACTGTACTACTCTCTGCTCTGCCACCCTCTCTCCCCCAGTACTGCTGTGGAGGGGGCAGGAGTAGCTGTCTCAGGCTCTCAGCAGTGGATCCAACCTTTAGCCCGCTGTCAGCTGAAAACATGTCACAGGAGTGCAGAACAAACTGCACTCCTGTGATCCACATGAGAAGTACAGCCAAACAAGCTTTGGCTGCACTTCTACTTTGATATTTTTACCAAGCTTCCTTTCAAGTGGTGTGGCATTGCCTTTAACCACCTGAACTTTCAGATCAAAGACTATTTCACTCTTAGCTTTGTGGAACTTGTCAGGGGATCCCTACAACCCTAAACTAACAGTCCTAGTGGAAGCAGTGGTAAAAGCTTATTTCTAAGAAACTTCAGGTAACTGTATTTATTCTAATATCTGTTACACTGTTAGGCCTCTTGCACACTGCAGCTTGAAAAAGCTCAGTTCATAATTTTTTTTACTGAGGTAAAATGTAGCCCATTATGTACAATGTGCCTCACAGGTGCGAAAAGAAGCTCTGTGTATTCTTCAGTAAAAATAAAAATCTGCATTTTTGGTCAGTAATTTGCGCATGTTGCGTGCCAATATGAGCATTTGAGCATTAATATTTATGAATTTTTTTCCCTAAGAATATATTATATGTGCAAAACAGATGCCTTTCTGTATTGCCAATTTACCCTGCATTATTTCAGTAAACGTCAAATGACACATCACTGACCATTTGAGTAATACCATTACATAACAAAGCCACATCCAGGTTTTTGGATGCCAGTCAGTTATTTTCTGGTGCTGGTTCTCCTGTGCTGTTATATCACAGTGCAGCTCTTTCTCCACATAAAATTATCATCAACACACAGAAGTCCCTTGCATTGATTTTAAGGATTTGCAACACTGCGTAAAAGTTCCCAGCATTGAGTCTAAAGATTTGCATCACCACATAGTAGTCCCTAGCATTACTAAGGATTTATTTTGTCCTGCAATAGAAGCTATCATCGACTTTGGGCTAAGAGATTGTCATGGTGGGTGCCTCAGCCGATTGAAGAGGCATCTGTCATGATAACAGTTGGTGGATCAGGACTCAACAGATGACAATTTGGTAAGTTCAATCACCACCAGAGGAACCACCTCATGTGTGGAGTCAGTCTGATCATCTGATACTTCTCCACTGACTTAGAAATCCTGTCTGAAAAGTATTCAACCTTCAGTGAGCCTATTTCAACAGTGAGATTGTTGCTTATACATAAGTTTCCCTATTTGCCTTAGACAGTAAAATGTGAACAGGTGGAATAAAGAAATTACTTGGCTCTGACAAGATGCTAAAACCTGCTTTTTCTAGGGGTTAGTCCACAGTATTTCTCAGTGTGTCCAGGACTACCCCCAAGAACGTCATCTTTTGGGTTAGACTGATATGGCTTTCCTCCCAATTGATGATTCAGCTGAACTTTTCCATAGTTCTTTTCTTTTCCAGAAATGCTGGTATAAAGTAGTGTGAGCTGTGACTCTAGACCCCTATAGTAGCTGTTATAATCTCTTCTGAGGATTTTTAGAATCAGAGTTCTAATCAGAATGTCCTGATAGTCTCCTAAGGTATAAGACATCTAAATAGTGTAACACCTGCAGGCCCTATTCGAAACATTGTGTTTTGGAGAAACTTTCTGGGAAATGTGGAAAGAACAAAAGGTGGACGAAGACAGTGCTCTGAAAAAGACCTATTGGCTGAAACGCGCGTTGGGGCAGAGACTTTAGTGCTGATGTAATGCCGCTGCATGATACCAACTATCAGTCTGTTTGGTGTGCTATGTATATGATGCTCATGGTGAAATAAATACTACACACTCAAATAGTATAAACAATGAAGCGCAACAAATAATGAAATGTGCAAAAAAAAAAATTTAATAAAAAATAAATAAACCATATAATAATAATAACTAATATAAAAAAAAGTTCAAACAATTATCTTCCCTCCCTCCTGTGATCACCAAGTTCTCCAACCGCAAAAGTGCACAAATCCTCCACCCAATATCTGCTCACCTCCAGCAGTATGACCTCACATATTATTATGCTAACTGCACTTTTGGTCCCACAGTGGACACTGAAGGTCAACTTGATGGATAATAGCTGTTAACATCTAGCTCAGAAAACATCTCTCACCATCATAATGAAAACAAAGATTCACATAGTGTGTAATAAAACTGCAGTTGTATACCCTCCATCCACACCATCATTTCATATACAAATCATGTAACACAATTGACACAAGGGCCATCAGTTAGATTATCAGCGTGTCTTCCGATCTGGATCCACATGAAAGGATGTGTACTAGGGCTGTAATGAAAAGTTAGTTTTTAGTAGTTTATTGATCCATAGAAGCGTGCAAGATTTTATTCAGATACTACACACTATTGCCATGTTTGCAGGTTCAAGTGTAAGCTTTATTTGTTGCAACTTAGATCAATGCTGGAACAGGAGAGGAGAGCACTGTGGATGGATGCATAGGCTACCCTGGATGGCACCTTCCTATGATGAAATGCCAAGCTTGCTATACATTTTGTAGCACTTCTTATAATGAGCGCTCATTTCATGAGATGGTGGCTGATGTTTATTTACACTGGTAAGAGTCTGGCAACAATGTGAGTCTTTGGTAGAGGAATTATAATACAGATGTTTTTTTGAACTATATAGGACTTTATGCACTTTTATATGTATCACCCACTAGTGTGCTACTAGTGTAGATACATTTTTTGTGGCTCATGGTAACTGTTAGTCTGTAACTAGGTCGGGTTACTGCAGGTCAGGCGTGACTCAGCAGGTTGGGGCTCTATTATGGTTCTGAAGGTCCATGGAAGCTTCCAGAAGCCAGTGGGCAGAAGGGGTGGAGACCTAAATCTGCATATTTATGGAAGTCTGACCAATCCTGGGCAGGGACGCCTGGCAGTGTGCAGACTAGCCCATAAATATGAGAGGTTCATGCTAGCAGGGAAGTCAAGTGGAAGATGGAGTGCTGAGGAGGCTGTTGGTGGCCTGGGAGGGGTCCCCTAGGTCTAGAGGGGGCTTGTCCTCCAGGCTGAGCTCAGACTGGCTCAGGAGGATCCATTCAGCATTGCAGAATGAACAGGATCATTGCCTGGGAGCAGTGGGGGCAATGAGGACAGAGTGAGTACATCAGCACACCCAGGGATTCACATGGGGAGAGACTGCCATATGTAGCAAGCTTTCAAAGGACAGCGCTGTTCTTAATCCTTTGTCCTGGGAGGTCTTCAGAGCAGCCAGGAGGGCTGGTAGTGTCTACAGACTGTGGAGCTGTGAGCAGTCCTACAGGGGAGAGGAGACATCTCTGCATGTAGTTTGCAGCAAGCTAAGCTAACTTTCAGAGGGGTCTGCGAGTTCCTAGCCCGTAAGGGGTTTTTGCTGCTGATCTGTAAAGACTGACCGTATTCCAGGAGAAGAACAGTCCAGGATCTTTCTCTGTAAATAGGAAGGATGTTGTCTCTGGGCATTGACTCAATCAAGTTGGCCATCCCGTAATCAATATTACCCCATTCAAGTTATTTCCACTAATAAAATAACAAAAACTAAGCTCATGGACTGTTCACTGACTGTGGATGCAAGTGTGGAAAATGTATGTTGAAGCTTAGGGGAACCCAGAAACACAGCGACCCTCAAGAAGGTAGTGCTACATATACAGTTGTGCTCAAAAGTTTACATACCCTGGCAGAAATTGTGAAATTTTGGCATTGATATTGAAAATATGACTGATCATGCCAAACAATGCTCTTTTATTGCAGGATGATGATCATATAAAGCCATTTATTATCAAATAGTTGTTTGGCTCCTTTTTAAATCATAATGATAACAGAAATCACCCAAATGGCCATTATCAAAAGTTTACATACCCTGGAATGTTTGGCCTTGGTACAGACACACAAGGTCACACACGGGTTAAAATGCCAATTAGAGCTTAATGTCCCACATCTGTGGCTTTTCAAATTGCAATTAGTGTCAGTGTATAAATAGTCAATGAGTATGTTAGCTCTTATGTGGAAGCACTGACTAGGCTAGATACAGAGCCATGAGGATTAGAAAAGAACTGTCAAAAGTCCTGCAAAACAAGGTAATGGAACTTTATAAAGATGGAAAAGGACATATAAAGATGTCCAAAGCCTTGAATATGCCAATCAGTACTGTTAAATCACCTATTAAGAAGTGGAAAGTTCGTGGATCTCTTGATACCAAGCCAAGGTCAGGTAGACCAAGAAAGATTGCAGCCATAACTGACAGAAGAATTGTCTGGGATTCAAAGATAAACCCATTTTAACCCATGTGTGTCACCTTGTGTGTCTGTATCAAGGCCAAACATTCCAGGGTATGTAAACTTTTGATCAGGGCCATTTGGGTGATTTCTGTTATCATTATAGTTTAAAAAGGAGCCAAACAACTATTTGATAATAAATGGCTTCACGTGATCATCATCCTTCAATAAAAGAGCATTTTTTTTGGCATGATCAGTAATATTTTCAATATCAATGCCAAAATTTCACAATTTCTGACAGGGTATGTAAACTTTTGAGCACAAAACAAAGTAGGCA